CCAGCCCCTCCCATGGCAGGGCAGCTCCCTTTTCAGAGCTGGCAATGTGGAGAGGGCCTCCGACTCCAGATAGGGCCTTGTCTCTCTTTTAAGGGCTTTCATTGGGTTGAGTCAGGCCCTCCAGAACCACCTCTTTTTGATTACCCTAACTTTTTGACTTGAGACCTTAATAACACCTGACTGCTTTCTTCATTTTTGCCTTCTCTTACTGGTTAAAGGCAGGTTTCAGGCCCTGCTGCCCTCAAGGGAAGGGGCCCATGGGCATGAATCCTGGAGGCAGGAGGTTATGGAGGGTTTTCTGACCTGTCTGCACATGCTCCCTGGGAGGTGCCAGGTTGGAGTTTTCCTCAAGAGAAATTTGTGCAAGATTTGGGAGGCAGCAGTGAAGTTGGGGCCACTCAGCCTCTCTGGCCAGCATGGGATGCCAGGGGTTGCATGCCGTGTGCTGTCTGAGCAGACTCCAGGTCTCCTGTGCTCGGGTTGGAGGAGGTGAGGAGGACATGGGTTCCCCCTCATGGCAGCTGGTTGGCCTACACCAGAGGAAGTGTTCGTCCTTTCATCAGCCTGCCTTGGGGAAGCTGATCCTTCTGTGTCTTGTTTTCTTATTCCCCGCACTCTTGTTGGGTCCGCCTCTGATGAAATCATGACTGTGCCCAGGGTCACTGAGCATGGCTAGGTCCCGGGTGACCCAGCCAAGTGCTGTGTCCTCATTAGGCCACTGTGCTGTGGAGATCCTTGCTTGTCATAGGAGCTGGTTCTTGGTTTCACTGTTTGCAGCAAGGGGCCACCCATGAGACTGCACCTCACCTATGGAGAAGCTTGACCATAGAGAGGTGAGGCTGCTTTGCTAGGGTCAAGCAGGATGATTGGGATTTAAACCCATGAACTGATGTCATAGTCCCTGGTGACCCCAGTGTGTGGGTGTGCAGCACCCTGAAGTGCAAAGGCTCAGACAGTGTACTCCAGGCCTCCATCTTTGTGACCATGGCAGCACAGTTCCCCTGTTGTCACTGTTGGAAGAGGTCTTCCAGGCCCCAGCATGATGCTTTGCTAAGTAGCCTGTGGGTTCCTCTGCAAAGGTTTGTGTCCCTATAGACTTTTGTTCCCTTTCCCCTTGATCCTTGTTGCTTCACATAGATTTTGACAAATGTCATTTGTAACCCTTCAACACTTTATTATGATTACAGATTTGAATGCCTATCTCCTGGCTGGCTAACCAGTGAGCTCTTTGAAGACAGGCAGTCACGTATTTTCTTGTGCGTCTCCACATCACCTAGGTCATTACCTGAGAGTTCTGGGCACCTGGAAAATGCTTGATGAGTGACTAGAGAAGGTGGTGATAAAGAGTTGTGAGTGACGGAGATGGAATGACACTTGAGTCTCACTGTTAACTGGGAGAGTAGACACTTTGTCACTTGTTACTCTTGGTCACCTCTAAACGAAGAGGGAAGCTTTGTCAACACCAAATGATGACAGTGACTACCTCCCTGAATCTCTTCCTAGACCTATGGTTCCTCTCAAGATTCAGTCTAGGTTATTGTTAAAGATATAAGAGATTGTTTGAGCCAAAGGCATAAATTATGGGTTTAGCAGAGGTGAGTCTATATTCTGTTTTTTTCACCAGTTAACCAGATGTGTGGACCACAGTTTTCTCATCTGTGAACATGGAGATGGTGACAATCCTGGAGTTCAGGGTAGCCGTGAGCTTCAGCTCCCAGAGGACTGACAAGGGCTGGCGTTTTTTCACTCACTCAGCAAACACTCACTGCATCCTAATGTACACCTTGCTCCGGAACAGGTCCTTCACTCCAAGGAGGAAGGCCTGTGAGTGCTCAGTTGTGTTGGGGGGGCCAGACACTGAACAGAAGATTGGGTCCTCAGTAACGGTACTGGTGTTCTAGAGTGGCATGGGCCAAGCACCTACATTAGGATGGAAATGATGGGGAGTCAAAGAAGGCTTAAATAAAAAAGCAACAAAAACCTGGGCTGTAAGCTGAGTCTCAAAGATGGGGGCAGGGGCAGGGGCAGGGGCAGGTATTCAATATAAAGGAGGTTCTCTCCACTCATTGTCATTCATTTATAATCAAGTACAGCTAATCCCACACTTATGCAACTGTTCCATTCCAAAAGATCTTTCTCAGTATGAACTTTGCATGAGATGATTGCTTTGGATTTGAAGATACAGAATCCTTTGTACATGCACAGTAATTTATATCTGTTTAATTCCAAAATATATCTTGATGTAGAAGCAATGTGAGTTTGTGTGCAGAGGGGGGAGGTTTGGCCACATTCACACTTTAGTCCACTCATTTTTTCTTCTCATCTGTGAGCAGGTTCTGCCTTTCCCAGCTCCTTCCTCTTGTGTCCAGCATGAGCACAGTGTTTGTGGAGGTCAGAAAAAGAACACCCTGAGAGGGGCAGGCCAACCCCCTGGAGAGTGGACCCCCATAGCCTTGTTTGCTGGCCTATGGGTGGGTCATCCCTGAAGCTGTTTTGTGCTGCTGGTGAATGTGCCTTTGTCCCTGCAGGTCCCCATGCCCCAGAACACAATGGTTATGGACCTGTCAGACTGCTCCCCTACTTTTGCCTTCCTTTGGATTGGCAGGAGAGTGAGGTCAGATACCTGTGGGTGGCTGTAATCCTGGACCTGTGGTCCTCCCTCTTGAGCTTGTTCTGGCTCTAGCCCTCCGGGTCAAGGGGAGGCAATGGACCCCACTTCTTCATTAACTTGCCAGATCCTGGCATGTGCTGTGAGCAAGAACATGTGCACCATCCTCATTATGTAGACAGTTATAGCACCCACAGGATGAGCCCAAGCCCTGGCCCAGTGGGCAAGTCCACTGCTCTCCAGACCTGGCTGGGCCCCATATTTCTCCCTGTTATTGACTGAATGTGTGCCTCCCCTCCCCACTTTACATGGTGAAGCGCCCACTGTCAATGTGATGGTATTTGGAGGTGGGGCCTCTGAGAGGTCACTGCGATTGAATGTGATCACAAGCATGGGGCTCTTGTGCTGGTACTGGTAACATTCTTAGGAGAACAGACCAGAGCTTGCTATGAGCACACAGTGCCATCTGCAAACCTGGAAGAATTTTTACCAGAACCCACCCATGCTGGTGCCCTGATCTTGAACTTCTGGCTTCCAGAGCTGTGAAAAACCAGTCTGCTGTCTAAGTTCCCAGTCTGTGGTGTTTGTTACTGCACCTAAGCTGACTGATACACTGTCCCTTTTCACTCCTGGGCTCACACTTTCTGTTCCCTTTGTCCAGCAAGTCCACACTATACCTTGTTCCTCCTTTGTTCAGCATGCTGCTAAAGACCACTTGTGGCAGCCTCTCAGCCTCTCACCACCTAGAATTCCACAGTGAGAACACCCGAGTATGTATGTGGATGGTGTACTTTGGCCTGGGCTGCATGGCCTCATTGGGGTCCTGCCTCCCACTCATGCATGTCCCCTTCATTATTTTCTAAAATACAAGTCGTATCTCTTCCTGAAGTCTGTCATGTACTCATGGTCCTGTTCCTGGGTGCGTAACTGTGACAGAAGATTCTTTACCACCAGAGACAGTATTTAGTCTGTGGTGGGTGCTCAACAAATACTTTCTGAGTGGTTGGCTGATGTTCTGTTTTGCTCCACAGTCAGCAGGTGGAAGTATAAGTGAGTGTGCATGAGTTCAGTTTCTCTAAATATGATAGTTTCCCCTTTTCTCTGTTGCCTAGTCTTAGTGGCAAGCTCTGAGAAAGGGGGAAAAGTCCATTTCAGTGAATTACTGGAGGGATGTAGAAGGGCCAGGGAGAGAGGGAAAGTCACATGGCTCTAAAGCCTCCTGGCTAGGCCACCAGGTGTTGCAGGCCACTGTGGCCTCACCACTCATAAGACATCCTTCTGTGGGCTTGAGGAAACAGCTGAATGTTTGCATTTGATTCACTTTGTTTTCCTTAATAATCTCTAAGGTGGAGACCACATTCATTCTTTATCGGAGCCATGTGAGGAGTTCATGGTGACTTGTCTGAGTGGAAAGTCAGAGCTGAGAGGAAGGGCTTCCTGCTGACCTGTGCTATGCACTGTTTAGTGACTTGCGTGTGGTAGTCGGTTGTTGTGCAGATTCTGAGTCAGATGTGGCTTTCCTCTTCAATTTAGCAGACAGTTATCATGTGCATTGTAAGTGTTTTTCAAATAACCTGAGAGAGTGCAATGTAGAATCTGGTTATAAAAATTGTTTGGATGGCATTTTCTTAGTTGAAAGCTGGTGGTTAAGTCCTGTGACTCTGGCTTCTGACAATGCAGCATCATTAAAAGCTCCATAGGCCCAGGGAAGGTAACTGGGGTGCTAGCACTCACCTTGAAGGAAGGAGGCCCATGTGAGGGGGTTTCTTGGGCAGTGATGTAGGGCTAGAGAGAGGGGGTCTTCCATAGGGTACTAAACAGACCTGGCCTTTTAGATGTGCCACAAGCTCACTGACACCTAATCCAATTGAGGGTCTTGCTGCTGGAGTGGGGTCCCTGGACCACAGCATCAGTATGGCCTGTCATAAATGCAGAGTCTCTGGCCCCAGCCCAGGTGTCATCTCCAATCATATTGCAAGAGCAGTATGATTTCCACAGTCCTCCCTCCAGTTGTTCTTCCCTGCCCTGAGGGAGGCTGAAGCTGAGAAATGAGCAGGGGGTCACAGCTGCATCACAGAGTCTCCTGTGGTGCTCTTCATCGCTGCACTTGTCCTGCCGTAAGCACTGTTGCTCGCTTCGTTCTTTCTCTCCCATTTGGGTGGTAGACTGGCTTAAAGGTTCTGTCATCACTCCACTCCCAAAGTCATCCATGTTCAAGTTACCCTCTCAGAAACCCTGGAGGCATGGTATATAGCAACATGGTCACTGGTGGCCTAAATTTTTGTTGTAATTTGCTGGCTAAATCTTTTGTAACTTAAAAGTTTATATCTGACAATATTTGCAGAATCTGACACATGCCATTGAAGCTTGTCTCTCCTGTTTCATCTTACAGGAAAGTCTCTGGGAAAACAGCACCTGTTTTCACAATCTGTCAGCAGCCAGGGCTGATGCATCTTTACAGGACTGTTCCTGAGTTTAAAATACACAGGAGGCCATGTGCCCAGCCCCAAGCCTGGCCTACAACAAATTCACAGTATGTGTTTTACATAATTATGAGTGGGTGCTTATTTAAATGATCTTAATATGCCCTCAAATACAAGGATGTACTTTATAATCACCCTGGAGAGCTTCCCCCAACCTGATTGGACCCTGTACCCAGCTCAGTCTCCCAGTCTTTACCACAATGCCGAGGAATCTATATCCTAACAGGACAACTGGTGACTCCTTCAGGGGGACCCATGGTGGGTTTTGCCCCAGTGTGCTCCTGACAAGTTAAGCAGTGTGTTGTGGACTTAATCTGAAAGTGTGGCTGTTAAACACCAGCCAAAACTGACTCACTTACCAAATGAACAAAGCTCTATGGTCTTCCTAGTGTGCGATCTGCTCTCAGAATAAAGTGACAGGCAGAGGAATTTTCAAGATAGAGGAGGAATGAATGGAAGTCACACTGACCTCCTCCCAGGCCAATCTGGAATTACAACTAAATTGTGGAGAAATCCCCTGGAACAAACAACTGAACAATAGTGAGAGAGAAGCCTTATAACCTCTGACAGACAGAAGAATCAGCTTTAGCACAACCTGACTGGTAAGGAGTGCAGTAGAGACTTGAGAAGGCTGGCTGGGCACTCATGGGTGGCAGCAGCAGAGGGGTATTTAAATGGCCAGCTGGATTTCCCTGAGAAGAGTGGAGTATAAACCATAAGTGGGGATCCCCAGTCTACAGCATCAGAGCCCCCAAAATACACAGATAATAGCCAGCTGCAAAAAGTGGCAGGGTTGTTCTCTACCAGAGATGGACAGCTGGAGATGCAAAGAGCCTTTCAAAATGTGAATGCATAAATTTTTATTGAGCGCCACTTACCCTGGGCTCAGGCAAAGGCAGGGGGAGAGTGGGCTAGAGACACCTGAGGAGAGACATAGGAAGGAAACTTTGGGGAGAGATCTGAGGGAATAGCCTGCAGGATCCCAGTGCTGAGTCATCCCTCATATGGCAGCAGCCATCTTGCTCAGACAGGCCACTCCCCTGAGCTTCAGCAGCTTGAGAGGAAACAACAGCCCCACCCCCAGGAGGGACACTGCTCTGGCCCTGTAGTGCCAAAGCCTAATTGCAGAGTGCATGGTGACTAACAATTGAAGGAGAAAGCCACAGGCAGTAGATCCCTGGAAGTGACATCACCACAGGCAGATCCAGAAAGAAAAAAACAGTGGTAAATACTAGAGGCTACCGAGACAAAATCCACTTTGGTCTTCTCCACGACTTGGGCATTTTCTTTACTGCATAGTTTTTTAATGTCCATCTCTGGTCCATCAAGTTTTTGCCTATTACGTCATTAAATTTTATACTAATAGTTTATTTCTCTCCTTTCTTATAATTGTTATTATCTCTTTACAGCCTTATTAATACTGGTTCATTTGCTGCTGATAGGGGGATTGAAGGGGAGAGTCATTTTGGCTGATGTGGGTTTGCTTCTGGGCTTTGTGGTTTTGTTCTAGGAACACCTACACACAAACACACAAGATGTGGTGGGCAGAATGACCCTCAGTCAACCAGCTAGGGGGTAGGTCCCACCAAAGAATGACCAAACAACAATAAAAACCCAATTAATTCCAGAGAACCAACATAAATGGCATAAAAGGCATACAAGAGCAGCAAGTTCAGGAGATCAAGGAGACTGCACCACTGAATCTCACAGGTCTCCTAACATAGAAGTTCATATCCCAAAGTCAGGAAGTCAAGATAGATCATTTTAAGAAGCAGAAGCAAAAAAGAAGAGTTTCACAAATAATGGGAAGACAAAGAAACAACCCCCTATTGAAAGGAAAAGAGGAATTCCCAGAAGGAGAACTAAATGAAATAGAGGCAAGTAAACTATTAGATATTGATTTCAAAACAATTGTTCTAAGGAAGCTCAATGAGCTCATGAAAAAGGGCATAGAAACTATCAACAAGAGGCAAGAGGAAATGAAAAACACAATTTCTGAATTGAAGAACAAAGTGGAAGGAATCAAAAACAGTGTAGATGAAGCAGAGGAATGAATCAGTGAACTGGAGGACAAGGTAGAAAAAAACTTTCAGAAAGAGCAAGAAAATGAAAAAAGACTAAAAAAGAATGAAGAGGTGTTTAGAGAAATGTAGGACAACCTGAAATGTAATAATATCTGTATAATAAGGATACCAGAAGGAGAAGAGGAGGAGCAAAAGATAGAGAACCTGTTTGAAAAAGTAATGATGGAAAATTTCCCTATTTGGAGGAGAGAAAAAGACACACAAATCCAATAAGCACAGAGGGTCCCATTTAAGAGGAACTCAATGAGGCCCACTCCAAGACACATCATCATTAAAATGGCAAATATCAAAGACAAAGAGAGAATACTAAAGGCAGCAAGGGAGAAAGAGATAGTAACATACAAGGGAACCCCAATAAGTCTAACAACTGACTTCTCAACAGAAACACTACAAGTCAGAAGGGAATGGCAAGAAATATTCCCAGTCATGAAAAGCAAAGGTCTGCAACCAAGGCTGCTCTACCCAGCAAGGCTCTCAATTAAAATGGAAGGCAAAATAAGGAATTTCCCAGACAAAAGAAGGCTAAAAATATACACCTCCACCAAACCAGCATTGCAAGATATGCTAAAGGGACTGCTTTAAGAAGATGAAGAAAAAGAATGAGAGAGGAACACAGGTACAAAGGGAAAAAAATGAATAAGTACCTGTCAATAATAACTTTAAATGTAAATGTATTAAATTCTCGAATTGAAGAACATAGGGTAGCTGAATGGATTAAAAAACATGACCCACACATATGCTGCCTGCAAGAGACCCACCTCAGAAAAAAAAACCCTACACAGACTGAAAGTAAAGGGATGGAAAAAAATATTCAAAGCAAATGGACAGGGATAAAAAGCAGGGGTAGCAATATTTATATCAGACAAAAATAGATTTCAAAACAAAGGCCATAAAAAAAGAGACCCAGAAAGACACTTCATAATACTCAAAGGAAGAATCCATCAAGAAGACATAAACATTGTAAACCTATATGCACCCAACATAAGAGCACCCAAATATATAAGGAAAATCTTGGAGGACTTCAAGAAGGATATAGACAGCAACACACTGATAGTAGGGGATTTTAACACCCCACTGTCAACAATGGATAGATCTTCCAAACAAAACATCAATCAGGATACTGTGGAACTGAAGAACGCATTAGATCAAGTGGAATTAACTGACATATATAGAATCTTTCATCCCAAAGAAGCAAAATACGCATTCTTTTCAAATGCACATGGAATGTTTTCAAATATAGACCACATGGTAGGACACAAAACAAGACTCAACAAAATGAAGATAATTGAAATCTTAACAAGCATTTTCTTGGACCACAAGGGCTTGAAAATAGGAACCAACATCAAGGGAAAAACTCAAAAGAATTGAAACTCATGGAGACTGAATAGCATGCTCTTAAACAATAAATGGGTCAATCATGAGATAAAAAAAGAAATCAAAAAGTTTCTGGAAACAAATGAAAATGAACGCAAAGCAGTCCAAAACCTATGGGACACAGCGAAGGCAGTCCTGAGAGGAAAGTTCATAGCAATACAGTCCTACCTCAGAAAGACAGAAACATTTCAAATAAATGACCTAACTCTACAACTTCAAGAAATGGAGAAACAACAACAAGCAAAGCCCAGAGCCAATACAAGGAAGGAAATCATCAAGATCAGAGCAGAATTGAATGACATAGAGACTAAAAGAATAATAGAAAGGATTAACAAATCCAGGAGCTGGTTCTTTGAAAAGATAAACAAAATCAACAAGCCTTTAAGCAGACTTTTCTGCTTAAAAAAAAGTAAAGTAAAAAAGTAAAAAAAGTAAAAAAGTAAAGCTAAAGTAAAAAAGTGGGAGGACCCAAATAAATAATATCAGGAGTGAAAGAGGAGACATTACAACTGATACCATAGATACAAAGGATTGTAAGAAATTACTATGAAAAATTATATGCCAAGAAATTTAAAAACCTCGATGAAATGGACAAATTTCTAGAAAAATATAACCTCCCAACATTGAATGAAGAAGCAGAAAGCCTGAACAGACCGATAACAGCTGGTGAAATTGAAGCAGTAATAAAAAAACTCCCTGCACAAAAAAGCCTTAGACTGGAGTGTTTCACAGGAGAATTTTACAAAACATTCAAGGAAGAGCTAATCCCTGTCCTCTCAGACTTTTCCAAAAAATCCAAGAAGAGGGAAGACTCCCAAACTCTTTTTATGAGACCAGAGTCATCCTAATCCCAAAACCAGATAAAGATACAAAAAGAAAGAAAACAACAAGCCAATTTCGCTGACGAACACAGATGCTAAATTCCTCAACAATATATTGGCAAACCACATCCAGCAATACATAAAAAAGATCATCCAGCATGATAAAGTGGGATTCATCCCAGGGATGTAAGGAAGGTTCAATATTCACAAATCAATAAACATGATAAATCACGTAAACAAAAGGAAAGACCAAAATTTCATAATCACATCAACAGATGTGGAAAAAGCATTTGATAAGGTACAGCATTCATTTATGACAAAAACACTCAGCAAAGTGGTAATAAAGGGGGCATACTTCAACATAATACAGGCCATATATGAAAAACCTACAGCCAACATCATACTCAATGGGCAAAAACTAAAAGCTTTCCAACTGAGATCAGCAACAAGATAAGGTTGTCTGCTTTTACCACTTCTATTCATCGTAGTATAGGAAGACTTAGCCATAGTGAACAGAGAAGACAAAAAAAATAAAAGTCATCCAAATTGGAAAGGAGGAAGTAAAACTGTCATTGTTTACAGATGACATGATAGTGTACATAGAAAACCCCATAGACCCCATCAAAATGCTACTCAACCTAATAAGTGAATTTGGCCAAACAGTGAGATACAAAGTCAATATTCTGAAATTGAAGGCACTTTTGTACACCAGCAATGAAGTATCAGAATTGGAAATTAGGGGAAAAAATCTCATTTGCTATAGCAAAAGGAAAAATAAAGTGCCTAAATAAACTTAACCAAGGAGGTAAAAAACCTGTACTCAGAAAACTATAAAACGCTGAAGAAAGAAATTGAGGAAGACACAAATAAATGGAAGCATATACTGTGTTCATGGATTGGAAGAATTAACATCATCAAAATGTCCATACTACCCAAAACAATTTATAGATTCAACTCAATCCCTATTAAAATGATGTATTTCACAGATATAGAGCAAACATTTCAAAAATTTATATGGAACCATAAATAACCCCAAATAGCCAAGAAATTTTGAGAAAGAAGAGCAAAGTAGGAGGGATCACAATACCTGACATGAAACTATATTACAAGGCAGCTGCAATCAGAACAGTCTGGTACTGGCATAAAAACAGACACAAAAATCAATAGAAAAGAACAGAGAACCCAGAAATAAACCTGTGTCTCTATGATCAATTAATATTCCACAATGGAGGCAGGGGTATAAAATGGAATAAAAATAGTCTCTTTAACAAATGGTGTTGGGAGAGCTGGGCAGCTACATGCAAAAAATTGAAATTTGACCACCAACTTACACTACAAACAAAAATAAACTCGAGGTGGATAGAAGACTTAAATATAAACTGTGACACCATAAAAGTCCTAAAGGAGAACATAGGCTGGAGACTCTCAGATATCCCACATAGAAATATTTTCATAAATATGTCCCCTAGAGCAAGGGACATAAAGGAAAGAATAAACAAATGGGGCTTCATGAAAATAAGAAGCTTCTGAATGGCTAAAGAAAACATCAACAAAATGAAAAGGGAACGAACCATATGGGAAAATAGATTTTCAAATGATACCTCGGATAGGCATTTGTTCTCCAAAATTTATAAAGAACTCACACGTCTCCACTCTAGGAAGACAAACAATCCAATTAAAAAATGGACAAAGGACATAAACAGACGTTTCTCCAAGGAGGACATACACAGGGCCCAGAGACATATGAAAGGATGCTCAGCATCACTAGCCATCAGAGAAAAGCAAATTAAAACCACAATGAGATCCCACTTCACACTGGTCAGAATGGCCATCATAAACAAATCAACAAACAGCAAGTGCTGGTGAGGTTGTGGAGAAAAGGGAACCCCAGTCCACTGTTGGTGGGAATCCAATTTGGTGCAGCCACTGTAGAAAACAGTTTGGAATGTCCACAAAAAGCTCAAAATGGAACTGCCTTTTGACCCAAAGACTCCACTACTGGGACTATACCCTAAAAATCCCAAAACACCAATTCAAAAGCACCTCTGCACCTCCATGTTCATAGCAGCACAATTTACAGTAGCCAAGTGCTGGAAGCAACCTAAGTGCCCATCTGTAAATGAGTGGATAAAAAAATTGGTACATTTACACAATGCAATACTATGCAGCAGAACGGAAGAGCAAGCTATTACCCTTTATGATAGAATGGATGGAAATGGAGAACATTATGCTAAGTGAAATAAGCCAAGTGATGAAACACAAATACCACATTATCTCACCTGTAGGTGGAAGCTAATCAACAAAACAAACAAGCAAGAAAAATATAACCAGAAACATTGAAAGAAAAAACTACCAACAGTAATGAGAGAGAAGGAGGGAGCTGGGTAATGAGGAAAAGAAGGAGAAAAGTCAAATCAAGGGACATGTATAAAGGACCCATGGACTAAGCCAAAGTGGGAAAGGATTCAGGGGAAAGTGGTTGCAAGAGACAAATGTATTATAACAATAAAAAAATATAAAAAAAGAAAAAGAAAAAAGTGAGAGGCATTTCAGGAAAGGGCAGCAGCAAGCTTTCTTCAGGCAGGGAAAGCCTTTCTCAGCTTCCCAAATATCAGAGAGGCATAGCACTGGGAATAACCCGAAGGGTAGGCTGAGCCCCAGGGCAGAGTCTCCCTATCTCTGTCTTTCCCCTTAGCATCATGGGCCATGGGGCAAATACATTGTTGCTGGATATTGTAGACAAAATCATAAAACTGGACTTCAGAGGATCACTGGTGTCTAGGATCATTCCCACATCACTACAAAGGTAGTCACTGGACTTCACGGTCTAAGGTCTTGTTCTTCTTGCCTCCAAGGACTACAGCCAAGAAGGAGACTCTAAGTGAACAGAACAAGGGCCCTCTGATGATGTTTTAATCCATGGCATGGATTAGGAATGTGCAGTTCAGTCTGGTCTGCAGTCATGAGTGTGACCCAGGCACCCAACCAGGACTCTGAAGTCCCTGAGTCTCACATTTTGGACTTTTGAAAATTCTGTGTTGGCAGAGGGCTTTAGGGCACCCAGCTTCCCACAGGTCAGCACTGTCTCTAAATAGAGCTGTGCCACTGGACCTGGGTCATTTTTTGAAGTAAAAAAAAAAAAAAAAAAAAAAAAAGATGGCTCAGTGGTGGCTACTAGGGGAAAATCAGGCTTCACACTGCTTTTGGCCAGGGTCATTGAAGAAATGGGGCTGCATGAGGTTGGCCTAAACATATTAATTTAGTTGAGACTTTTGTGTTCCAACTCCTGATTTTGGTGCAACATCCCTCCTCATTTCTGAATAAAAATAAATTTTAGGTTTAACTTCATTTAAAAAATGTCTAGGCTGTTTGGGACTGAGACACTAGTGTGTTGGAGTTCAGAGTAGCAATATTTGCAAGAGCCCAAGGGTGGAGACAACCCACATGTCCACAGACAAATGAATGGACAAACAAAAGTAGTCTATACATATGTGTGTACTAACCATAATTTTTATTTTCAGGGTCCTGTTGCTTTGCCCTTGGACCTTTGCTGACCCTGGAGAAACTGACCCTTTCAGGATAGCCAATTTCTAGAGACTATAAATGACTTCCTTGTGAGCCCAGCTTTCCAATGCAGACCAACCAATCCAAAGCCCACACCCGACCCATCTCCTCTATTAGCTTTCACATTCAGGTCTTGGTCTCCCTTCCCTTGTCACCCCTGGGCCAGGTACCGGACAATTATGGACACCCCCCACTCAACCCCAGAGTGCACTGAAATTATTCCAAGTGGCCAATCCTGAACCTGCTCATCCTGCTTCACTTGGGGCTTCTCAGAGAAACCACCAAAAGTTCTTGCCAGCACTCTCCTTGCTTTCTGCCTCCTGCCTGCCCCTGCTCATCCCCTGTGCAGCCTTTCATGGTGTGCACTGCCTCGTGTTTCTAGGGGGTCTGTGAGGGTAAGAACAGTCATTTCCATCCCTATGTGTTTACTACATCTGATTAAAACAAATTCCAGATATGTTTTAAAACAACGTACAATGAACTATTATTCAGCTTTGAAATGAAGGAAATCCAGACAGAGGCTACAATAAGGATGAACCTTGAGGGCATCATGCTGAGTTAAATAAGCCAGTCATGAAAGGACAAACACTGTATGATTCCACTTATATGAGGTCCTAGAGTAGGCAAATTCATAGAGACAGAGAGTAGGATAGTGGGTGCCATGGGCTGCGGGGGGAGGGGAGCGGAGGTGGTGTGGACGGGCAGTTAGAATTACAGTTTAGAAAGATGAAGAATTCTGGAGATGATGGCGGTGATGGTTCGACAACAATGTGAATAGACTTAATACCACTTAGTAGTACACTTGAAATAGTTAAAATGGTAAATTTTATTTTATGTGCAATTCACCACAACTAAAAAATATCTAGGTCACTGGCAAAGTAGTCCTTTAGTGCCCATGGGTCTTGGCTCCCTGAGGACAGGGCATGGTCTTGTTACATATCCTTAGCACCTGGCAGGTGCCTGGCCTCAGAGTGACAAGGTGTGGGTATCAAAGCAGAGCTTATCCTCCCCAGATCCCCTCAGTTCTCATATCTTCTTAGCCTCAGGAGGCTGGGGTGCCCACTGGCCCAGGGGCTTTGCCAGACCTTAGAGGCTGCTGAGAGGGTCTCCCTCTTAACAAACCAGGGCAGAAAGGCAGCTTCATAGCAAATCACCCAGGAGTGGCAGGTTCCATGAGCAGAGTGCTTCCCTGGCCCAGGAGGAATAATTCCATCTGAGAAATGGATGGAAATGGAAGACCAGGCCCTGCTTGTCTGGGGAGACCAGGCTCTGCTGGGGGTTGTCTATATCCAGCTTTCTGACCCCTTTTGCATCTTCATTTTCCTGAGGGGATCCCTGCTTTCCAGGAGCTCCCAGGGTAGAGAGGGAATGCTCAGGGTGGCTTGTGTTTTGATGTAATGCTAGAGCACCTGCCCCTTTGGTTTTGCTGATTTGATTTTTAATAGGATCCAAATAAAACCACAACCCAACCCCCAAGGAAATGCCCCAGTGCTGTGTCAACACTAGGCTGATGCTCAGAACCCAGGGCTTTTTTGAGGACCCTCCTATATATATATATATACACACACACACACACACACACACGCACGCACGCGTGCACACACACACATCTCAGGCTGGGAATGCATGGCCTCTAGGCCTGGGGAGACTGTAGCCCTGTGTTTGTTCCCTTTCAAGGCTGTTTTGCCTCCCCGCCCCAGTCTTGCAAGTTCTTTTGAAAATCCCAGACTCCTGCTTTCAACTCTTTCCTCTGGTCTCTGATAAAAGGCAAATTAAGAATCACTTTTAACAGTCTGACTGAGAGCTAAGAGAGTTTGTCTGCAAAGGCAGGACATCAAAGCACAGAGTTCCTTGTGCCCCTGGCCTGAGACAGTGGAAGGAGGGGACGTCTGCAGCCTGGGCCCCAGCTACCCCTCTGCCTCAGCCCCTTGTCCCAGCTGCATGGCTTAAGTGGCTGCGCCAGAACACCTGACAAGACTCTGAAATGGGACGACAGGCAAATCTTACTATGGGCAAGCCCTGCAAATAGCTCAGATGCCTGAAGACACACTGTAATTGCCCTGGGAAGAGCAGCTTGGCTAGAGTCCTTTTCTGTTGGTTTGAACTCCAGAGAGATTCCCATTGCTTTGTGGTTACAGCAGCTCTGAGATAATTTGGGATCCTTGGCGAGGTAGGCTGAGCGGGGCTTCTGCCTGCACTGTGGTCTTGGAGCCCAGGGCACTTGGTTAACAGACAACCCCCTTCTACCCCAGGTCTGTGCCAGCTCCCGCTTAAACTTCTGCAGCCCCACCTCCTGCAGGATCAGGACCTTGGTCTTGGGGCTGGGGCTGTGGAGACTCCCTAACTGGCTTGAAGTGACTGGAGCCCCTGCCCAGTGATGTGCTGTGGGAATGTGAGAATGAGTGTGTGCCTCTCGTTGCGGTCAGTGCTGGGTTCTGAGGTCACAGGTTATTTATATGTTTGTTTCCCTCTTTTTGACTCCAGTCTCCTTGAAGGGAGGGGTGTGGGTTCACATCTTCCTCCTCAGTCATTAACGGGCTGCTTCTTACACACCAAGGTTAGTTGTGACATGTGTGAGAGGTGTGCAACACCCGCTGGAGATGAGATACTCATGGTGCCAGTGACCTGATGCTAAGTCACCACCCACCTGACACTTAGTGGCACAGAACAAGCTCTATGTCACTTTCTCCCTGGATCTTGGGGTCAGGAATTCAGGTGGGGCTCTCAGATTTAGGGCCCGTGCTGAGGCAGGGGCACCAACTGGCACCCTCAGGTAGGGTAGGCTTCTTCTCAGCTTGGTGGCTGCGGGGCATGGCCTTCCTCCTGGGGTGGCCTGGCATGCCAGAAGCTGGCCAAGTATAAGCAGAAGCTGCGTGGCCCTTGGCATGCAACCCAGGCTCCAGGGAAAGGTAGGGGGACTTCTGTGGGAGGGGGAAATCAGGGTGCTGACTCGGGTGCTTCTTCCACAAGAAAAATCCTCCTATGTAGAAAGACTTGCACGATGGGGTCAGACTTGTGGGGACATGAATGAAGGGGTGTGGCAGGTCACAGACACTCCAGGCTCAGCCCCCCTGCCCTGGAGCCAGGGTGGATGCATACCCACACCAAGCCACATTCCCTCCACCTCCTGCCTTTGCAGTCACCCCCTTGCATGCTCCAAGCTCCCTCTCCCCCATCTGCTCCTGTGTGAAACAGGGCCACTTGTGATTTGGGTGTGAAGAATGCACCGAGGCCTGGGTGGAGCAAAAAGCTTCCATGGAAAGCAGCTGCAGAGAAAGCCAGCCCCGGACCTTTTTCAACTATATCAAGAATGTCAGCCTGTGCCTCTCTCAGCTTCAAGGGGCAAAGCAGCCATTTTTAGTAGCCGTGTGGCCCCAGCCTGGACTCTGCCAAGCCCATGGGCTGGGTGGCTCTGGAATTTGTGTGGTCAGCTGAACCTTCCTGGCGAGGCAGGTGAGGGGCTGCTCAGGCTCTGCACATTCCTGGGCGGAGGAATGCTCAAGGCCCAGCCTTCTTGGTGCCCTCAGGGAGGGTAGGGGAAGTGGGCTTGTTCTACAGCTATGTTGGTTGCCTTGAGTAACTAACTCCCTGGGCCTGTTCAGAGAGCCTGAGGCCTGCCAAGTATGAGGCAGGGTCTCTATGCTGTGTGAGGGGGCCCCCTACCCTGCCAACTCACCTGCCACCAACAGCAGCCCAGTCAGGTGCTCCCAGGTCCAGTCTGACTATACAGCATAGCAAACAGCAGAGGAAGACTTTAAATGTGCAGTCAAGTGTCTGGCCCCTCTCTCAACCTCCACACAATTTTATTGTTTTTGCCACCATTTTGTCTAGGAATGGGCTGTGGGGACCCAGGGTTCTGGGAGGGGCAACACAGTAAGAAGCCATGGCATCAGCTCCAACCCCAACAGCACTTGTGGGCCACCTGTTAATGACTCTCAAGATCTTCACCTGTGAATGAGGAGGGGCAATCTCTCAAAGGGGCACTGACCAGAACTAAGATGGGAACCTTGGATGGTCAAATCCCCTTTGAGAGCCTGATGAAAACTGCGCACTCCTCCGCAGGGAGATGCACACACATGGTACATCCTATGTGTGCAATTCCCAAAGGCTGTCAACATCTAGAAGCATTTTGGTCATCTCTGGACCCAAGACGTCCTGTTTGAAAAGGAAAAGCATAGGGGATAAAGAAAAGCTGCACAGAGAAAAAGGAGATTGCAGGAAGGAGATAAACAAAGTTGCACAGATGCTGTCAAATTCAAGTAACAGAAGTCCGCTCCGCACACTTAATTTGCAACCTTGAGTGACTGGTGACAGGCACACCCCTCAGAGAACGGCTGGAAGGAACTCTCCACCCACACCCTCTCTTTGGCTTAAGCAGTGAGCAGCTGGGAATTTGGACTGTAAGCAACCCAGATTTAGAGAGCACACCTCAGACTTCAGGATGACAGGCTTCACCCTTCTCCCCACGAAGCAGGCCCTCAAGAAAACCTGCACATTCACTGCATCCTGGGCTGGAGAGACTCTGGTCCCCAGAGATTCAGGCTCATTGCCAGCTGGGGTTGATTGTGCTTTCAGGGAGGGAGGTCCAACTTTATCTCCCATCACACCCTTCAGGGACAAGAACCTCAAGATTTGGAGGATGCTGTGCATATGTCAAGGCACCTGCTGCTGTGCTGGAAGCTTCTTACTATAGTCTCAGACTGTCTGAACTGGGACACAAAGCCTCTGGAAAGTTTTGGGGCCAGAACCAGATCTCTGGGCTCCCAGGCCCTTGCTGCTACTGTATAGCTCTGTCGTCTGCCTGAGGAGGTCAGGAGGGCCTCTGGAAAATGCCTTCATATGGAGGGTCATCAAAAACCTCCCTCTCACTAGAAACCCAGGGCTCCTCCTGGGCACAGGGCATGGGCATGACTGTGTGGAGTGAGCCAGCGCCTGCCACCAGTCTGGGTGATACATGCCTTGGAGAGGTCAGCACTCGGGGTCCATGCTGCATCCACAGGGTCTGGGGAAGAAGCAAGCTCCATGTCAAGCAAGGCTGGGCACTTTGTATAAACTCTTCTTTGAATCTCATAGCAACTTGGGGATGTCCAGATTCCAAATCAGATGGTCAGCATCTCCCCATGGCCCTGTCCAGCTCTCCCTGCCACTCTCATGACCACCCAGCCCCTGAGTGCTGAGCTCAATGGGCGCAGGCTGGACAAAGCTATGGAGTGCTCAGGGCATCTAGATCTTTGTGGGCTTTGCTGTGGGATCCAGAGCCCATAGGAGGTTATGTTGCAGGACAGGGACCACCCTAGACTGGCTTTAGAAAAGACACGTTTCCTACAGTTGCCTGCTTAATGAAGGTGGTTGGGCTCCAGTGCAGACAGCTGTGCTGTGTCAAGGGAGGTCCTTGGATGAGCTTTATGGAGTCATCCATTACTGCTGATGGGCTCAGAAATAGCTATTCCTGGCAGGGGGCCTGTGGGCT